GGGGGGATGTCGGTTTCTTTGATTTAATTGTTTTGACGACCGCCTGATTACACGACGATGCCACCCGTGTTATCAATTGCATTCATCAGGCTGCTTTCTCCTGTAAAGGCTGGGTTAGCGCTAACAGACAGGATCTACACAGCCTGCTTCTAGAATAGTGTTAACTGAGGGGGTGGTGGCCTTACTTAAACCGTTATAACTAATACTTTCATTAATAAGAAACACATGAAAATCAACACATTTACAATAAACATTTTTTTTTACCATTAACACATTCATAATGAATACATTTATATTCAGCCTATTGCTTATAATCAAAACGTGTATAATCAAACCATTTACCACCAATGCATATAGCCGGGCGGGGGAGGGGGTTGTGTTCTTTTGTAGATGGGTTTTTTGTCTTAAAATCTGGAAACATCGTTTTCTCTTTTTTAATCTAAATTACTTCAGTTAATCTTTATGTCGGTCGTTACACACTAAGAAATGAATGTATTCTACAATATTTTCATAAGTGTCAAAGTGTATTAAACAACGAATAACATTCTTTTAAAACATCTTAAAAGCTGGAAATAATTATTTTTTTAATCGAATTACTTAGGTTATTCTTTATGTCAGTCGGTACACTTTCAGTATACATTTTAATAAGTGTCAAAGTGTATCAAACAACAAATAACATTCTTTGAGAAAAAAGGTGTGGCCTTAAAGATGGAAACATCTTTTTATATAGACCAAATTACAGTAGGTAATTTTTATGTAGAAATGGATGCATATTTTCGTGAATGTCAAGCTGTATGAACAGCAAAAAACATTCTTTTAGATTTTTAAAAAATTTGTCTTAAAAGCTGGAAACATCTTTTTTTTTCTTTTCATCGGAATTATATAAATTAATCTTTATGTGGGTGATTACACTCTCAGTAATGCATGGGATCTACATATTTTCGTGAATGTAAAGCTGTATTTAACAACAATTAAATAATATTCTTTTAGAAAACAAATGTGTTTCTGAAAAGCAGGAGACACCTTTTTTCTTCCAAATTATTAAAATCATTCTTTATGTAGGTTGTTACACTCTCAGTAATGGATGTAAACTATATATTTTCGTGAGTGTCAAGCTGCATAAAACAAAAATTAACTTTCTTTTAGAACGAATATTTGAGGTCTTAGAATCTGGAAATATCTGTATTTTTTTTCTCGGTCAAATGACTTAAGTGATTCATTATGACAGTCGTTACACGCTCTGTAAAGGATGTATTCTGCATATTTTCGTGAGTGTCAAGATGTATTAAACAATTTTTAAAATATTTGTTTAATGAAGGTGTGGTCTTAAAATCTGGAAACGATTTTGCTTTTTGACATTCGAATTACTTTAGTTATCTTTATGTTGGTTGTTACACTTTCAGTAATAAATGTAATCTACATATTTTTGTGAGTGTCAAGCTGTGTCATGTTAAACAACAAATAACTTTTTTTTAATGAATTTGTGCTTTTAACATCTTTTTTTATCTCATGCAAAATACTTTAGTTAAACTTTATGTTGGTCGTTACACTCCCAGTAATAGCTGTAATCTACACATTTATGTGAGTGTCAAGCTGCAATAAAGAATGATCAACGTATTTGCAGTTAACACACTGATAATCAGCACATTTATAAACAGCACATTAATGCTCAGTACATCTTACTCAAAACACAAAAATCAATATATTTGCAGCAAACCGGTTTTTACTTTACACCTTTATTTAAATCAACACATACATTCCAAGCAAAACAATTACAACTAACACATTTATAGCAGTCAACGTATGTACGATAAACACATCCATTAAGTTAAAATCATTTACAATCCACATACTTGCAACAATAATATCTTTTTCTATTTATATATCACAACCAAAACAGTTATATCACCAACCCATTTATCACGCTCAATATGTTTGCAATCAACACATACATTTACTACCGTACTATTTACTGCATATCTCCAACAAAAATGTTCCAGAATGTTGTCATTTGGAACAGACGTAAGTCATTAAAAAATATTATCGAAAGTGGACATGACTTGCGGAGGGAAAAAACAATAAACACAAAACGCACTAGTTTAAAAAATCTTGTAAGGGTAAGAAAGTCATGAAACGATTGGTTTGCTTTTGCTCTACCTTTCTCTTTGCCATCTATTTTTTCCATCCCCGTGCCTTTTAATCAATAATACTTTTATTTTTGTTTTAAAATTTAAAAACCTAACAATCCTGGAATTCTTCGAAGCAGTGTCCTGTATGTCCTCCTTCGAACTCCACAAATGTTTAACACGTCATTCGTAATGTTCAGTGGTGGCCAGTCAAAAGGACCCGCCAAACCATGAGTGCTTAAAACCACACACGCTGTACATCTTTCAGTATGGAGTGGTTTCTAGAGACACAAGAGTGTGGATGGGATGGCCGATAGACTTGATTTTTTGTGTTTACATATCCTGGAAGGTGAAAATGTACTTTGCTACAGATCCAAATGTCCTCGGGGAAATGTTCCCGTTTTTCAAGACAAACACATTGTCATCCTATGATTCATGTCAGCCCCGTGAACGTTAATGTGTTAATGTCGTAAGTTGCGATCTGCCTTGAGAATGCAGACCGCTGAGGTGTAGAAAAGTCTTAACTGCAAACATCTCATGGGACTCGGCTATTGAATTCTGCACCCGGGTGACATTTGAAGGGGTGCGAATGATGAGTGCTCGACTTGAAATAGTCGGGGGTTTTTTTATTTTTAGTTCAGATTCTCAATAGACCCAAACTGACAGAACGTCGCTACCCATGACATTAAATTGATTAAAGAAGGTCTTGAGATCACTTCAGCATAATTTCCATACCTTGTGTGAAACTTACGATATGTCAAGGGTGGTGAGTCGGTTCGAGGTAATGTTCAATACAAAAAGCTCTGTGCTCTTTATTTAATTTGACCATGATCTCCTCAGACAAAGACAACTTGAGAAAAAGAATATCTGCAAGCTTCTGTTAGCTTGTTAGACTGTTGTAGCTTGCAATATGGCGTGTTCTTTGCAACTTTAAGTGGTAGCCCTAATGCAAACTGGTGCGATATGCTACAAACATTACCTGGACAATGGTAAAAAATGGGATATTTTCATTCAAGCACCATATTGAGCAAAACTATTATGCAGATTTATCTGAAATGAATATCTGACAAATTCCCATTCACTTCAAAATATTGTGCTCAAAATTGAAACTCGAAACTTCTGTGTGGAGGAAATATTTGCATATTACCTTCGCTCCCTAACAATGTGTGTATCAATTTCACTCCCTGGGAATCACCGCCAGCTTTATCCCCTTCTCCGGAGTCACAAATGTCTCGTCCAGCATCTTCATCTCTTCCCCCGCCTTGGGTTCTGTAGTCTCGTTCAGCTCAACTCTGACCTTTTTCAGCACATGCACCAGGCCGGCCTTGAGCTCCAGGTAGGCCAGTCGTTGACCAATGCACAGACGAGGCCCGAAACCAAACGGGACAAAGGTCAAAGAATCACGGGTTGCTTTATTCTCTTCGCTAAACCTGCCGGGGATATAAATGCATCTCTTTATCTGGATTGCAAGCAACGGGACCTGCAAAATCAGATTGATATGAAAATAAAGAGTTATTTTTTTCAAAAAGAACGTATACAGATTTTGGGGGGGCATTTATGTTATTTGGAACATTGACTAGACCTAAACACATAGACACATACACACACACACACACACACACACACACAAACACACACACACACACATACATACACACACACACACACACACACACACACACACACACACACACACACACACATACACACACACACTCACACGAACACACGTCTTTGGTCTTGCTTTAGATTTAGAAAAAAAAATGAATACACCTCTATCTTGAACAGAAGTCGAGATATTTATCGTGATTGAAGGAGGTGGGAGTCGCATGGTGTCTGAGGTAAGATAGGATAGAAAAATGGCCGCCACAATTCGTTGTCCAACATTTTTTACACTAATTTTGTAAAGCAAAATGCGCATCTTTTTTAACTCCTGAAACTTCTTTGTCCCTCGGCCTGGCGTCAAGACTCCACATTTATTAGAAAATGATGAAAAATTAATTCATGTTTACCTTCTGCATATCTATATATGCAACTTGCTTCTTGTTTGTTGCTAAATTGATATTATTATGCCTAATTACTCATGCATGGAAAAGGGGGTCTGTTTGGAAACTGAGACTTTACTATATCGACGTAAAATCATCGATTGGTAAGAAAAAAAGTTAAGTAGATAACAAATAATTTGATGAACTCACGTTTCTAGTAAGACACAAAGACATTCACATTGTGTCCTCACACACTCATGTTTCAAGTAATACACAAACACAATCACTATTTCCTCACCTGTCAGGGTCAAATTTTTCCGGATCTGCCCAGTAGTCTGGGTTCATATGAACTTTCCAGATGTGGATCATGATGTGAGTGTTGGCGGGAATCGTTATACCGTCATAGGTCTTCTGTTCTTTGCTCTGAAACCACAAAATAATTGTTTCATTTCCTAGAATGACTGAGTAATCGTTTTTCCCAAACAATAAACCTAACGTTTTGCTCGAACTATTATTGTCCTCGGTTGAAGGGCGCTACTGATACTCGACTATTACTCGTAGCTTCTACATATTATAATTTACTTTCTCTCTGGTTTTTTTCTGTATGTCTATCTCACAGTACACGGGTAATATTGTGTCAATGTGCTTCTCCTTGTACTCAAACTCAAACAAACGTGGCAGTTTCTTCCACTGGGGAGGGGTGGGGGCTATAAAGTATGGCTACCGTATCTTTTGTTTCAAGAGAACAGTGAAGGTTAATTCGAATAGCGAAGATTAGTATATAACATTTCAACTTCGAGTCTTCCATAAAAGTTAATATCAATTAAATGTTAATAATAATCTCAATTTTCTGGGAAGCGCACAGTGCAAGCTGGCATTTATGTGCTAAAACACTAACTGAAATGTAAATACAAACACTTACAGGCAATTCGATTACAAAAATACTCATTGTTATGACTTCCAAATTGTTTGCTTAAATGGTACCCTCACGTTGTAGCACTCACCACTCTCTCCACGAACTTCAGCGGCGGGAAAAACCTCAGCGTCTCGTTGATGGCCTGTTCTGTGTACTTGAGTTGGGAGAGTTCCTCATAGGTGGGCACGTCGCCTTTGACTTCTGTGACTATCTCCTCGATTACTTTCTCCTGGATCTCCTGGACGGGCGGGGAAAAACCAGGGCGTATAGCAGGTAATTGATAGGAAGATTGGGGAGCGGGTGGGGTTGTTTGTTTGTGTGTTTGTGTGTTTTTGTGTTTTGTGGGGGTTTTTTGTGTTTGTTTGATTGTTTTTTTTATTGTTTGTTTAATTGATTAATTTAGGGGTAAATATTGTGCATGTTGAGCACAGGAAGAAGAAAATGGGGAGTGAAGAATGTGAGAGGGCGTCTAGAATTTGGGAAGGGGGGGGCAGTAAAAGGGAGAGAGAGAAAGAAGTAAAAAAAAGCATAGATGGAT